ACTGCATTTACTTACGAGCTAAATACTCTTGGGAAAGGTATGAATCCTCTTCTTCGCTCCCCAGGTATGGTTAAATAGCAGGACAGACCGTGTTCTATAGAGTTGGATGACAACTGGTCTACCGCAGAAAGAAATGGTAACATACTGCGGAAAATTCTTCCTCGTCAGTCATGTATCGAAAGTAGAAGAAAGTATCGATGGTAGAAGAAGGTCTAGAAGGAGTAGTAAAAGTACAATAAATATTGAGAACAACAAAGGATAGGTGGAAATGGAAAAACATGATCACCTACGTCCTGAAGGGTCATGGCACATAAAAACCGGCTTTTGGTTTCAGCTTTCTTCTATTTGCTTTTGGCCAAGATTTTTCGTCTTTTTTCAGTTTTCTTTCTTGATTTTGTGGCAGTTGTATCTACTTTACACCTATTTTTCAAGTCTTAACCCGAATTCTCTATGATATTTATAGACTTCTTCTGAGGTAGAATAAAACTCTTTACTTTTTTTCATACTCCATTACGAGTTGTAATATCCAATATTAGGTTTTCTTAGTCGGACCTGGATTTTTCACTATTTCTTCAGAGAGTGAAAAAAATTATCAAAAGAATGCTTCCCAGATCACTACAATGGTAGACTGTTCAAGTCTAGGGTTAACCCATATCCGCATAAATTGTATCTCTGACACTGTAACTCTCTTCCTAGAGTGGCGCTTGTGCCTTTTACAGAGTTAATATTATCGTAAAAAGTTATATTAAAACGCACAATGAATGATTCATACAACAAATACAAGAAAGATATCACAATAAAGAATATTCTTATACTTGTGCGTCATTATGTGTTTGAGAACATGTTTTCGTTTTCGGAATCAATTTAACCAAAAGAAAAGCAAATTATCATTTCTTATATATTATAATTGCAATATCCGATTTGTTTCTATCCAGAAAAGGATTTCAAATCAAATGTTATATACATAACATTTTTTGCCATATTTCTTTTTAATTCATAACTTCCAATAAGAATTAATCGAAATTATTCTGATTTCATTTGATACAAGCCAAACCCGTATCAGTCAGCAATTAATATGGTTAGACAAATTAGCTTTAATTAAAATAAATTGTTTGCGATTAGGAGCCCTGTGAACATAAATTTCATTTGTAAATATTTTCATTATTTTCCTTTTGAACGGCCAATTAATTTTAGTGATTAATTTATATCACTGACAATTATTTGAGCGAAACTTGTATATACACCTAAGCAAGTCCCTACACTTTTGTTACATTCATTTCTACATAACTCTCTCTCTCTCTCTCTCTCTACACACACACACACGCAAGCGCGCGCGCACACACACATATATATTATAATATTTTTATTATAATAAATTGCAATAAAAATATTTTATATCGCTACACAAAAACTTTCATGTTTCAGTACTAAGATGGTACCTCTTCATGCGAAAGTAGATAACTAATGATAAAAATGATTTATTAGGGAAATTTTAAAAGACAAATCTTTACCTCTTTTCTTAGTTAAAGGGGGGCATAAGGTCAGAATTAAAAATATACTTATGACTATGTCTAGAGTAACCAATGAACGTCACGTTTACGCTAACATATAAAAATAAGGTCAGAGAGTGGAGGTGGGTGTCTTATGTTTTTAGAGATTTTTAAACCTGTTCTTGTGTCTACACTTGAAGATAAGTTCGTTCCTTTAATTCAATAATTGGTCTGCATTTTTATATTTAATCATTATAATTTTCTCTTGTATGCATTCATAGCATCTGTCCTGGAAGTTATTGGGAGTCTGAGACTGACAGATGATACCCCATTTAATTTGTGGAGTGAAGTCTCCATCTTTAAGTTTCCAATAATGTTTTGATAGAGCAGTTTGGTATCTTAAAGAAGCGTTGCATAAGTAATGCCAGTGATTGTAAATTGTGTTTCCAACTCCCAGCTGATATCCCTATATATACTTTTTTTTCATTGATATTTTCTTCCATAAAAATGGTAGATTGCTACACCACATCTTTCGAATTACAGATACCGCCAACTGAGCAGTTAGTTTCGGTTCTACAATTAAAATTTTTCTTTTTCTTTCTTTTTCTTCTTCCTTTTCCTTTTGTCAAAAGTTTTGGACAAATTGATTTTATTTCTGAAAAAACCTTTGGTCTGAAGAGATGAATATTTAAATAAATATATTCATGAAATAAATTATAATCGAAATGGATTGTCTTTACTAAAGAAATAAAGGACTTTTAATTTATTAATCGGACAGATTTTTATCATTTTAAACGTTATTTTTGGTTGGAAACTCATATTTGAGTAGGCGTCCCGTTTATTTATTAAACTGTATATTTATTTATTTTCATCGGCCTGAATATTCGAGAAAACTTATTAAAGAAAAATATGCGGTTTCCGGCAGGATTCGAACCTGCGTCCATATGGGCAGAAGGAAACCGTCGTTATATCCGATGTGTCTATCAAGCTTTGTCAATTAAGCCAAGTCTGAACAGTGCCTTCTCTTTTCTAACGGACCATAAGTTTCGAACTCTGTCGCATGGGGATGCAATTTGTATCCATAAAAAGAAAATAAACCTTCTAAAACACCGTTCGCTCAACTTTCATTAATTTTGAATGGAATAACCAACAATATAGCAAATTTTGTATGATACACATTCACACGCACGCACACACACACACACACACACACACACACAGATACAGCGATATATTATACTATACTATAATATAATATATAATATATATTCTTTTCTTACGTTACAAATTCTCATCATTATTCTTGCTGTGATGCAGAAATGATAATTATTCAATGTCGAATAGAATGTTATTTGCTTAGCTTAACGCTTATGAAGTATTAAACATAAACAAGAAGTATAGGAAAATTACTTCTATATTGCTGTCATTTTCCTTGACGGCATGCGTAAACTAGGACATAAATATACCGAATTCATCTTGTACATAGTCACGTGAGACAGGGAAATTTATTAGGTGTATTTTCCAAGAGAGAAGAGTATCCATCTGAGATATTTTCATTTGAAATCCTGTCCGGAATATCGACCACTGAAGCCAGTAGAGAAAAAAAGAAGAAGACTTTTTTCGATACCAAGTCGATTTCCTATATACTAGGATGGACTGAAACGATCATGGCGATGAAGGAATGATGCTAGAACTGTGAAATCTTACCAGCATTAATTTCAACTCTTTTTATTAATATCCGCATTGTTTCTTTCCTGGTACGAGTGTGGGCTGAAAAGTTCATAGGCTGACTATGAAGGAGTGATGCTATATCTGTGAAATCTTGCATGCATTAATTTCAACTCTTCTTCTTAACATCTGCATTGTTTTTTCCAGGTACTAGGATGGGCTGAAAAGTTCATAGACTGACTATTAAGTAGTGATGCTAGAACTGTGAAATCATACCAGCATTAATTTCAACTCTTACTAATATATGTATTGTTTCTTTCCAGGAACAAGGGTTGGCTGAAAAGTTCATAGGCAGACTATGCAGGAGTGATGCTAGAACTGTTAAATCTTTCCAGGTACGAGGGTGGGCTGAAAAGTTCATATGCTGACTATAAAGGATTGGTGCCATATCTGTTAAATCTTACCAGCATTAATTTCAACTCTTATTATTAATATCTGCATTGTTTCTTTCCAGGTACGAGGATGGGCTGAAAAGTCCATAGGTTGATTATAAAGGAGTGATGCTAGAACTATGAAATCTTGTCTGCATTAATTCCAGTCTCACTAATATATGTATTGTTTCTTTCCAGGTACTAGAATGGGCTGAAAAGTTCATAGCCTAACAATGAAGGAGTGTTGCTAGAACTGTTAAATCTTACCAGCATTAATTTCAACTCTTCTTATTAATAACTGCATTGTTTCTTTCAGGGACATCTGACTGTTCAAAGAACTCTGTACATCCAGTTGGTTAAAAAAGTCAACAACAGATATGACGTCATCATCACTACGATTCTGGTTCCTAGTCAAGTGTTTTTCATGTTAGGGAACAGATGATGATCAAATCAGAAGAATAGGGAGGATGATAAACTAGTTCAAAACCAGTCACGCGCAGGAGCCATTGAAACCCAGGACTTATGTGTTGGAGCATTGTCCAGATGGAACAAGACGTCTACTTGATAACACCATGATGCCAAATTTTGCCCATTTTCAAGAGAAATCGCTACTAGTAACTTTTCAGCCCAACCCGTGATCTATCATAATACGAACAATTTTCCGCGTGTTAACAATCGATACAGAAACTGGACAAATCATTTGCATACAAATTGAAATGTACTTTAGATTAAATTATCCGCTGGTCGACTACATTGTCGGAATAACATGCGCTCTCCTTCCTGGCATTTCTCGGGGGCAATGGTGGTTACTTGTCACTGACCTCTTAAAATATCATGCGACAGGCTGATCTGAATTATACAGTGCTAGCAGCAGGGAGTAATCCCTGCCCATTAAGTGGGGTCGGATGGTATAACATTAGTGCCAGGTGAATAAAAACTGCTTGAGAAAGAAATTGGGCAAAATTCCATTTTGGGTTCAGTTAGCCAATAGTCGAACTCTGCATCTTGTAGCATTATTTTCTCCTTTTAATATCACGTAGGAAAATATAGCTCCCCACACACTTGGGTTTGAAAAGGTTTTCTATTAGATTGAGTCATATATAATTTTCATTTTGCTTATCAAATTTATTCTTCAAAAAAATAAAGTAAAATTACATTTTATTCAGTTATATATTCACCATTATTTGAAATTTGTTGACACTTTTCAAGCTGCTCTTTTGAGTAAAATTAGGCAGATTTTGATATGAAATTTTTTTTTGATATAATCGTAAAGATTTTCATGACAAAACCTTTTCCCGATCAAAGTGTTTTGCAGCGATCATAAACAGAAGGGAACACCAGGTTCTGTAAGCTTGGATGTGCAAGTGGTGTAATGGATAATGACTAGGAAGTGTTAATCGGATAGCCGAATTCTCGAACGATCACAGAAGTTAAGCAACGTCGAGCCTGGTCAGTACCTAGATGGGTGACCTATTGGGAATACCAGGTACTGTAAGCTTGGATGTGCGAGTGGTGTAATGGATAATGACTAGAAAGTGTTAACCGGAGAGCCGAATACGATCACTTAGAAACGTCGAGCCTGGTAACCTAGATGGGTGACCGAGTAAGCTTGGATTCGAGTGGTGTAATGGATAATGACTAGAAAGTGTTAATCGGAGAGCCGAATTTCTCGTACGATCAAGCAACGTCGAGCCTGGTCAGTACCTAGATGGGTGACCGATTGGGAATACCAGGTACTGTAAGCTTGGATGTGCGAGTGGTGTAATGGATAATGACTAGAAAGTGTTAATCGGAGAGCCGAATTCTCGTACGATCACTTAAGTTAAGCAACGTCGAGCCTGGTCAGTACCTAGATGGGTGACCGATTGGGAATACCAGGTACTGTAAGCTTGGATGTGCGAGTGGTGTAATGGATAATGGCTCAGAATTGTTAAATGGAGAGCCGAGTTCCAATTCCAGTTGTGTTCGTTATATTCACCTACGCGCAAATATCCTTGGGAAAAGTATGAGTCCACCTATTTTTCCGTTGTTTATGAGGCAATTAATTGTTGGCTTTTGGCTTGTTTTGTAGCGGCATATAAACAGAGAAAAAAAAGAAAAGAGTGCTGAACTATTATGTAATATCACTCCTCCAAATGATAGTGAGTACGAGACAATCTGATCAGAGAAGAAGTAACAGAAATCTGGTTCTACAGAAGGATGCTGAGAATACCATGGGCTAAATATGTGAACAACGACGAAATTTTAAGAATTGGTTGGTTGGTGTATTTTGTTTAGCGGCATATCAACATCTCTATGGATTAATTAATGCCGAAATCTAAATATTCTGGACACAATTTTATGGTGCAATAAAATATATTTTGAACGCAATTTTATGCCTTCAACTACAGACAAAATATATTGTTGGTAATTTTGCTATAAAATGTATTGTTGGTAATTTTGCCATAAAATGTATTGTTGGTAATTTTGCTATAAAATGTATTGTTGATCATTTTACCATAAATATGTATTATTCGTAATGTTTTTATATAAATATGTATTATTGATAATTTTTTAGATAAATATGTAATTTTAAATAACTATTTAATTTTTTAATATAAATATGTAATATTTTTTATATAAAAATGTATTTTTATACATTTATAGTGTTTTATTTTTGTTTTGTTTGGACCTGGAATCAACAACAATTAAGAGATAGTATCATTCTCCTCAAAACCTCGAATCTTCCGATCAGAGGTCTTGCTGCCGGATGTAGTTTATCGTCATAGCCAAGACTAATTAGTAAGAATTCTATCACTAAATCATTATCTAAAAAAGTCTTGCGATCTAAAAATATTTTCTGGCTTTAAATAACCTGCAATGAGCCGATAAGCCGTAGAAAGCGAATGGATAAATTAAAAAAGTAATGACTGCCTGGTACAATGCCAAGTGAATATGGCGGGTGGATTAGAACAGACTAATTGAGTTCCAATTTTCTTTTCTCAGTTATTCTTGTGTGCGGCCTTGATGATCACACCAAATTTACAAAACTTACTAATAATCCTACTAATCAGCTAAAAGTGAAAATTAAAATAAAATTATCACAGCTAACAATGCGGTAAAAGTCTAAAACTTACCAAAATAATTGGAGACTGTAAAACTTACCAAAATAATTGGAGACTGTAAAACTTACCAAAATAATTGGAGACTGTAAAACTTAGCAAAATAATCGGAGACTGTAAACCAATGTTGTTATGGAGGAGAATAACATTTTTTTAATCCACTGTGTACGCTGCTACATCTGGGTAAAAGCATCAGTATATTAGTATACTCCAAATTTATTCTTCACATAATTCTTATTAAGGATCCGACATTTGTCAAGACAGTTGCTTCCCTAAAAAAGAAATTACTTATGACTAAACCTAATAATTTGATTTTAGGTCATGGCATATTTTCTCAGTGAGGTCAAGTTGGAGGTCATTGCAAAAAATATCAATGCTTTTTCCCCCTTTTTTTATGATTTAAAAAAAAAACAACAAACAAACGCATTTTGACTAACACTAATTTGCATTGAATACCATCTTTAAAATGGATGCAAAAGTATTTTGATACAATTGCCTTGGCTGGTAATTTACTTGTGGGAGAGTGGATCGTCAAAATCATTCCACTGTTTTTTTCTATTACCTATGTAGCATACCAGTCGTCGACCCAACATGTCACGATATTTCCCAATGGAATTGTAAATTGAAGCAAGTAGGTTCTTTTCTCACCATTCCCATATACTGCGTTCTTGTGGTGATTGAGGAAATTGTTAGAATGAATGGGTCGCAAGTCGGATCAGGTAGGTACAGAATAGTGAGTGTTGATCTTCCTCTCCAACTTCCTATTCGGCCTTGTGCCAAAAATAATGTATTTAATATGTTATTTTTATATATATATATATATATATATATATATATATATATATATATATATATATATATATATTATTTACAACTACTCAACCTCGGGCGTAACTGCCATATATACAAAAAATATAGTGGACCACATAAAAAAGTTAAGATTGAAGCATTATACCAAAATGTAATTAAACTCCAGGTACAGCATCTAATTACCGCAGAACCAGAAATCCGTGATCTATTTAAAGCAGAATCTATAAAAGACAGGCATGATAAAAAGGAGAATTCATCTAAACTCCTAAATAAATCCCTAAACATTGCTGAAAAAGAATTACGCAACCACCCAGAAATAGTAATTAAGGCGACTGATAAAGCAAACATCTCTGTTGTTTTAAACAAGTCTGAATACAACTCAAAAAAATTGAACAGTTTCTTGATCACACCAAATTTAGAAAACTTACTAATAATTCTACTAATCAGCTAAAAGTGAAAATTAATAAAATAATCACAGTTAACAATACGGAAAAAGAAAAAAAAATATCGGAGACTATAAACCAGGAAACATTTAGGGTTCTATCAAAACGCACAAACCTAACTTTCCACTCCGCCATATTATATCACAAATTCCAACTCCTGTCTACCAATTAATTAAAGAGAAATTGTTATAATATAGATAATGTAAGTGTGCAACAATTCCAGTTTGTCTACATGATACTCAGATAATAATGCACATTCACAAGTGTGTGTGCGTGTAGTAGACACTATGTTTGGTGGCCTTCCGGTATGTTGATTTGGGAACGTTTCTACGTACATACAGTTTGTTTTATATAACCATACGGCAGGGTTAGCCTAACCCTAACCTTAATTGATACAAAGGGTTTGTTATCGATAGATTTCAGCGAAAGGTGAGTAAAAGTGTCAAGTGTGTTGTGAGTTAATGAGGTCAGACTTGATTTTCTTTTTTAAGTCCCCTTTGACACAACGGGTCGGTTTACTGAGACCCCCACCGGTTAAGTTAGACACTCTTTGTTTACCTAATTAATGTAAGTAAATGTTGTTCTTGGCCTATTCCTGGCTCTCTCTTTTGTTATGATCCATGTCGAGATTCCCAATCTCCCCAGTTTGTTTTTAAACCCCTTTTTTCATCTCGACTGGATTTGCCTTTGTTTTTCCCACTCCGTTTTTTTTATTTCATTTTATTTTTATCTTTGCCTTTTCATTAGTGAGTTAGCTTCTTGATTCTGCCTAAAGGCAAAAAAAAAAAAAAAAAAAATACAGCGGCCACTCTTATTTTTTGTGGGGTGGTTGTGCCCTGCTAACATCTGTTATACTTAGTTTGAACGTTTTGTTATACTTTAGTTTCCTTTTCTGGGTTCATCCCATCCCATTCATTTCATGAGCATATATTTTTCTATATTAAAAAAAATGGAAAAAAGAGACATTTGAACTATTTGTATATATTGAAATTTTATGTCATGGTTTTTTTTAAGTTCCCTGTAGATTTGTGGCATATGTACTATTGAATGGTGAGGAATGAGTTTTTGTAGCGAATGAGCAAATTGTAATGAACGAATGGGTCGTGAATCAGATTAGCTAGTTCTCGGTCTAGGATAGAAGATGTCAATCAGCCTTTTCCCCTTTGACAGGGTTAGAGTTAATAAAGGTTAGTGATGTAATAAAATATTTATGACATGTGTTTATAGTTGGTAATATTGTTACTAGTAGTAATACACAAGAAAAATTGGCCATAATTTGATTTTATAAACGGTATCTTAATTAAAAAAGAAGACTGTCATAGTGATTTTTAAAAATTTATCCGTTGTAATTATGGAAATTTTTACAAGACAAGCGTTTCACTATAAGGCAGCTGACCAAGGATTGGTAGAAATGTAAAATGGCGTCAGTATATAAATGTTATATGCACTTTAATATGTTGTTGTTATATTCATAATAAATTATATGCACTTTAATATGTTGTTGCTATATTCATAATAAATTATATGCACTTTAATATGTTGTTACTATATTCATAATAAATTATATGCACTTTAATATGTTGTTGCTATATTCATAATAAATTATATGCACTTTAATATGTTGTTGCTATATTCATAATAAATTATATGCACTTTAATATGTTGTTGCTATATTCATAATAAATTATATGCACTTTAATATGTTGCGATATTCGCAATAAATTTAATTCCAAAATAATGATAACAGTGCGCGTGGGCGCGTTTTTTTTTTTTTAAAATCACCATGGCAACGGAATGCAGATTTTATTGCAGTTACAATAGCATGTTTGACTTTGTAATTAACCCTTGAAAATGATCTTAGAAAAGGACAAAATTACTTGGTTTAAAAAAAACAAACAAACTACGGACTTTCCTTGATGAATTTCATCTCAGCATCAAGAAACTTATTAGACAACTGGAACGGATCAATATAAAAATAAGTAGACACAATATGTCTATATTATTCAATGAAACATGTTTGGATGAAGATATACTGCCTAAATACACACACACACACACACACACACACACACACATATATATATATATATATATATATATATATATATATATATTCACTTTTGTTATTATTTGTTTTAATTT